CCAAGACCGTATCTTCCCAGAAATTTCCTTTACTAAAAGTGGACATAAAAAATGCACAGAGTAAGTTGTGTGCTGAAGCACCAGATACTCAAGATTTCTCCTTCAGTGCCTGCATCAACAGATACAGAACACGTCTCTATCAGTATGAAAGTGCATGATATAGTCCTCAGTGCATAGTGAGCCAGACTGAACCCAGGGAGCGGGTGTACATCTCCCTGCACCCCTGAGTGCCTTTGTCCCATTCTAAAGGAAAAAGACACAAAAGAGAGAAAATGCAATTTGGGAATAGTGTCAGGAATGAAGTCTAACAAAGAGGTCAGTGATGGAAGGCTGAATGAAAAAATCAATTAAACCATTTCTCCAATATTAAAAGGAAACATGAACTGCACAGTGCTCAAGAGAGTTAAGGAGTCTATGGAAAATACCACTGGGATTAACCTGTCAAATATCAGATGTAGCCTTGGGTATTTTACTCAACAGAAAGTGTCTTAACAGGGTTTATACGCTAGATATCAAAAGTTGAGGAAACAGCTGTGAGCCAAGAGGGTGCAGCTGATTAAGACATTGGATTTCAGTATGCACGAATGGCAAGAAATGGATTAAAATATGAATTAATGACTTAGTGCCAGAAGCTTTGAAGTGAAACATCAGATTTAGAGAAGGATGAAAAATCAAAAAGGGACAGGAAAAAGAGTAAGGCTTTTGACTTGTAAGTAGCACCTAAATCAATCAATGGGACATGCCAACCAAGAGTTTTATTGCCACAAAGGCAATAAAAAGATCCAATAGGTTAATTACTTGACTTCAACAAAGCACCAAGAAGGTCAATGCACTTGGCAGCACTTTCTCATAAAATGAAGGAAAATAAGATGACATGCATAATTTCTTTCCCGTCCAAGGGATTGTGGTGTAGATGTTGAAAGTTAAGCCTCATCAGCACAGGTCTGGCAGGTTGTTACAAACTGGCTATCTTAGCTGGAGTTACTTTGACATAAAGATCATCTTTCGTAACTGTGTGACATTGGATACTATGGCAGAAAGAAGTATGCAGAAAAAGAGAAACATTCTTATAAAAAAATAAAAAAAATGCAGATTCCTTATTAGCTGGAAAATGTATTCTGGGAAAGAAGAAAAAAATATCAGAGAGGGAAATTGTATTCTTAAGTGAGCTCAGCAGGGGTAAGAGTACTTAGGCAAATGAATTCAGTGTTAATGAAGGTAAATTTAACAAGCTCTGGTTCTTTGATTATTTTGCCTTATGCATGAAGACAAATTCAGAACCCTCAGAGGACTTGACTATAAGAAAATATAAGGCAATTTCATATTTTAGTATTGCTAATTAGTTCATCCACACACACAAATTAAGAGGCCATTAAACTGCCTGCCAGTAACATACAAGACACTGAAAGAGATAAGAAGTTGTAGTCCTATACATTAGGGGGTTAATAACAATGGGTCTTACCATTCCCATCAGAATCTACATAGTAGATGAGTGCGTAAGCTAGGGGTGGCTCTTTCTTTAGGGCTTAAAAGAAGCTACACAGATTTGGCAAAAATGCATATTCCAAAGCCAGGTATCACTTCTCAGTTGAAAGAGTTGCTGGTAAAAGAACTTTTTTTACCACATTCTGGCATACAGGAATTTCCAACATGCTGCTGGTTGCTCTCGATAGTGAACAGACTGGCAAAAAAAAGAAAAAAACACCAGTTTTTTTTTTTTTTTGTAGTAGCCAAGAGTGTACTACAGCCAGAAGCATCCACATTCGCACTAGCAAGTTTTTTTTTTTTTCTGTCTTTGCTCCTTCAGCTCAACATCAGCACCACTTGGGGTTCCAAAGCAGTTCAGGGAGACACTATGAGCCCTCTCCACCAGCAAGATTTAGAGGATGCCCATAGCTGAGCGCATTCCCTTTTTTTTTTTTTAATCGCACTGAAGAAAGATGGACTAGATGAGCTATGACATGCACTTAACCACCCACATGCTCTCCCTCTCTTGTATGTCTCACGTAAGTTGGGTTTTGCTCAGTTAAATATTATGTCAGTAGACATCAGAAGGGTGGAAGAAAGGTCCATCTTTTCATCATTCCCAAACAGTTTATTCTTTCCATACCGCTAAACTGCTTAATATTCCCACATTTTTTACCCTGTTACAGAAGAAGTCTTAGAGTTTTTCCTACTGTTAGGAGTCTAGGAAGAAATCTCCTAAATCCTGTTCTATATTTCACCTTTGCTGTGCCTATGAAGAATATATTATTTGCGGGTTTCCATTTTCAACGAACATGAACATTCTTATTAACCTTTGCACTGACACCATCTCCTAAAAAGTCCAGGGAGAACAACTGGCTCATTTGAAAAGTTTACACAGAGTCATGTAGACCAAGAAGACTGTCTTGATGATCCGGTTTGACTTCCTGTAAAGCATTACACCCACAATTTTTGAATGAGCAATCATATAATTTTAAAAGGCCACTCAACTCTGATTTAAAGAATATAGACAACGGGAGTTTTGGACAGAAGAATCCCAGGCTGTAGCCAAGGGGACAAACTGGGCTGGCTACATGGAAAGTCTTAGCATAAGAAACATGGCTAAGTCCTGTTCCAGTTGAATTGAAAGCTGCAATCATTCTTAAAAATAAGAAAGCCTTTCCTAAATGTTTATCTTGGTCCCTTGCCATGGCAATTTGAAAGACAAAACAGCACACTCCGCATATACCTAATCAACTTTTATCATTGTTTTCACATTCCGCAACTTGTCAAAATGTAAACAGCTAATGATTCTTAAAAATGAATTGAATTAACCGTGTTGCATTAATAAGTCCTACAATGTTAAAAAGACAAAAAAATCCAAGTTGATTAAAAAAATCCTCAGGAATAGAACTGAATAGACTCTCTTGTTCTCTGTGTTACCCCAGTGTGGGTGGCTTGGCTATTTGCAAACAGAGATAAAAACCTGTAAGCAGCTATTTGGACTTCCATGCCTCAACTTGTTCAGGGAGCAATATGCTCATTTGAAGCTTCTGATTTGACTAAATTACATTAAATCAACAGCACAATGGAGAAAATGAGGGAAGCACAATCAGTGAGATATTCAGAAATATTCTACCCGGCATTATTAGCAAAGTTTTATTCAACATAATCTGCTTCAAGAGTCACTAGTGGAGTTGTGAATGTCTGTTGAATTTAGATGCCTTCTTCCCCAGTGCCTGGCAGAAGAAAATAAATGCTTACTACCACAGTGCTTTGAGAGCATGCAAATATTTTTTGTGGGGTAACCATGCTTAAAAATTACCATCACTATGACTAAGGCACAGCACTTCTAGTGTTCCCTAATGCAGATGGTGGTAAGTTGACACTTTCAATACGTAAGCAGAAATTAGCCATGACTAAGTTCTGCAAGGCCAGAGGTGATGGTAATAGAAACTATTTCATTTTTGTTTTTCTTTTTACAAATAGCTGCAAACATAAAAATGACTGAACTACAGATGGACAGAATCTGTGAAGACCCATAAAGCTTTTAGGAACAGAGGTGGATGCAGCTTGCTTAGGGCCTACAACATGGAATAAACACACATCATCCACGGAGTCTTTATCCTCAAGTGACCATATCCTTTACTGAAGTTCCACAATATTGAGCTAATAAAAGCTCAGACCTTAATCAGGGTAAAGAAAACGTATGCCCTTTATGATTCGAAATTAATAGCACTTTAATTGCTATCATCTGCAATGCTATTTTTCAGATTGGCTTTAATGATCATTGTGTAACTGTGCATGTGCTTTTGTAATATAAATAACTCAACCATTTAATTTCAATTTTTTAAAATGGAACAAGGATAAGTCCCCTTGATGAACTAATGACCTGCAAAATTTCAGATATTATCAGATATAAAGAAGATGGCAGATCAATGTTAAAACTACATTTTCAAAACATGTCTGTAGTACAAGCTTTCAGCCTAGTAGAGTAGTAGTTATTTTAGCAAATATCTCTGCTTAATTTGGTATGCATCCTTCATTATCTCATTCGAATTGCTATCACTGGTCTTTCTACTGTAAATAGTAGCTTCAAACTACCCAAGCAACTCCCAAAAAACAACATTGAAAAGCCTTTACGTCTCTCTCTTCCAAAACCATGCAATAATCCACACCAGTATTTTGTGATACACTCAAAAGGTCAACATTTTCAGAAGAATTAATGAATAGTGAGACTTGCAATTCTGGGGTGCTAATTTTCTGACCCTGTAAAGAGGTTTTTGGAGAATGAGTTTTAGGACTAAATAAGCCATTATCCAGACATGGGATGTCCACTGATGCACATCACTGACAATCTTCTCTGGAGATAGAAATGCACCCCTTACTTTAGCGAGCATAGTAATGCAACAAATACTGAAAACTGCCACAATCCCAAATGTTTTTCTAAAGTAAATTCAAGTAGAGCACACTCCAAGAGTTAACAATGAAAAAGAGAGGAAGGAGCTCTGAGGTTAAGGTTAAGGGCAGCACCACAAGGATAACAGACTGAAAATAGGAAAAGAAAAATGTTAAGGCTGACGTTAGGAAAACATTTATTATCATGAGGATGATTAGATAATGGAATAATTTCCCAAAGGAAGTTGTTGAGTCAAACACTACAGGCATTCAAAGGAAACCTAGATAAAAACACCAGGCGATTGATCTGGAGGGCAGCCCTGCACTAATGACCCAAGAGGCTCCTTCAAACTCATTGAGGATTCTCCTCTTGAAAACAACAATTCGGAACTTTCTGTAGCAACATGTGCACAAAAAATAAAGGCAAAACATTGCACAAAACCCGATGGCATTTAACTGGAATCTTGTTTTCAGCTTAGAGATTTTTTTCCTCTGTAGTACCAATAATCTGTGTCTATATATGCATTCATTACTTCCAGAAAATCCTACCACATATTGACCAGCACAGTGACACTGAGAAGATAAATAAAGCTATGAAATATATTTTCCAAAGAAATGACAGGAGCTATAAAACTTGCCTTATGAAACACGATGGACATCATGAAGAAATCCAGCAAGAAATTTTCTGAAATGTCTCTGTAGTCAAATCGGAAGAAGATTACAGTAAAGCTCAAAGTAACAAACTGATTAATAGGATTACAGAATGAGGAGCGGAGGAGTTTCATCCCAGCAACTGTTATCAGAATAATATCACAGCTGTAAGAAAGGCAGAGAGAAAAACCTAATCAAGTCAAAGTCATAAAGCATTAAGTTATGAAGCTCTTAAATACAAACAGCTGTACCAGATATATTTTAGATGGCTATGTATATCTAAATATACATATCTTATTGATTTCTGATATTAATCCTATGTTCTTTTAATAATCGCATTTATTGGACCCATGTGCAACTTCATATTTTTCCCTTATCATTATCACACACTTGTAATCTGTAATAAAGAAAGAACTCTGTACAAAAAACAGTAGTATTGACTATTAAAAAACAAGAATCTAGAAAGGATATTTTTATATAGCTCTTAAAATAAAATTTCCGTTTTGGAAATATCCTGGCACTTCCATTAATACATTACTGTATTTGAAAAAAACATCTTGAACCCACTCCAGTTTTTTTATTACTATAAATTTCACTTGATGACAGAGTTTATAATTATTCTCCTAATTTCATTACACACAATGCCAAAATTCTGGATAGAAACGCCCATAGATGTGAAATGTTTGAAGTTCTTATCATTGTTCTTGATCGGAAGGTCGTCTATTCTATACAGTAATTACTTCATCAGATTAAAAGAAATTGTGTGTTGCATCTATGTTTTGTAAAATGCATACAGTCTGTATTTTATTCTCCCTTATTATATTCCAGAGAGTGAAATTAAGCTGAGAGCTCTAAATAGTAAGTAACCACACAGAAAATCAAGAAGTCCAATCTTTGAGAATTAAAGTGCTTGCTGCTGTATCTCCAAAAAGATAATGTTCCTCTTTTAACTCCCCAGAAAACTACACAGTTTTCTGTGTAAGAAAAGAAAATATAATTATATGAGAAGAAAAGATGGAGGTAATGTGTTGGCATCCCTTGAAGTTAAAAAAACACTCCAGTCTGTGGATATATATCTGAACTTAAGAGACTTGAGGTTGTTCGCATTTTGAAGTTTGTTTTGGTTTTGTTTTTTTAAGATACTTTACAGAATTAGAAAGATGGTTTTGCTTGGACAGCAATTTTGATCTCTTGATAACACAGCCTATTCTGGGGGTTAGATCCTAGAAAGGTCACAGACACGTTAATTTTTAGATCACTTGAGTAGATGGGCACTCCCGTGATACGCAACACAGTACTGGTCTCCAGATCATGAACAGTTGCATGGTTCTGTATTTTATCCAACAACCACTAAAAAACACAGGAACAAGGTCATGAGTAGGAACTGGAACACGATTCCCCACCCTATAAGAACTTCCTTACCCCCAAAGCAGGAGGAATCAAGAGCAAACCTCCCATAGCCTCTACTTTCCTGGTAAATGTTGAACAGTTGGACCCTTGTTAAATGAAATGGGCAACACCACCTTCTCCATCAAGGATTTTAAAAAGAAGGAAATCAAAGCAGTATTTTGTGAACTCAATCTTGATCACATACTGGGGATGCTGCAAAAAACAGCTCTCAGCTCAAAACCTTTGGGTTTCTGGGTTCTAGTCAGGATAAGGTAAGAGACAAGTGATTTATTCTGAAAGCTCTGGGCATGTTCAGAAGTATATCTCAAGCCTCCTAATGAACCATCAAGTCAAAATCAGGAGTATTTAGTGATACTAGGTACTCTCAGGGTTTTCTGGCAGTTAAACAAGTATATTTGGGTTGCAGTTTTGCACATTGATGCCCAAGAACCATACTGGATCTATTCCTGAAAAGACAACCCAAACCTAATAGACATGTACAAGTAACTCCCTATTAATTGAGAGCCAGGTGATTTCTCTTAAGTAAATTAACTTAAGCACATTAACTTTTTGGGAGATGCATTGCTTTTTTGATGCTAGTCAAAATAGATTGGGATTTCAATGCATAACGAGCGACTCAAAGCAGGCTGGGTATTTGCAGAATGCATGGAAGGTTCTCCTCCACCCTGCTGCAAACAAGGAGAATACCTGCTGCCGTGACTGACACTTGACAGGCCAGAAAGCTCTAAACAGGTTTTCATCATTCTAGCAAGGCTCATAAGTCTGTGCATTTCCAGGTTGATTTTATTTTATGTGGCATTTATTCATTATTGTGTAACTTCCGTAATGCAGACGCAACTTTATTTGAGTGCAGGTCATTCTAAAGGATCACCAGGACATCACTGTTGGAATGAAATGCCAAGCTGACCTTATTTCTCACCTTGTCAAAGCTGTTCTTTTCAATTTGCCCCAGATTTCTGAATGGAAAGCCTAGCGACTAAGCTAGACAGATTCTGAAGCCACTAGAAGCCATCCCAGTGTGTCCTGTATAAGCCAGTTGGATCTCTCATTCTTCAGAAAGAAGAAAATTCTTGCAACATGGAAGAATTTTCACATGGAAAACTTACAGATCATAAAGCAAAAGGAAGACTTTTTCCTCACTGGATCTGTTAACGTGCGGAAAATTTCACAAAAAAATGACTTTTTATACAACAATGCTCTCAGGGGTAACAGAAAATAATTCGCTCATTATCCCTCTTCTTTAAAGATATTGCCACACAAGATGCTTTTCCTGGGGCCTTAACTCCCAGCAGAGAGAAAGCAAGAAAGAGGGAGAAGGGGGGCTTATTTCTGAAGCCTCTGTGGCAGGTAACACGGGCAGGCTTTTCAGCTTGTCAGCATGGGTCCCATTAATAACCAGCACATCAGGGTCTGGAAAGCTCAAGCTAACTCCTGACTGTGAAGGAGCTATTCTGCCTGCTCAAGAAGCAAACCACTTCAGTCCTTTAAATTACAAAGCAAGATGAAGCTTCTTTAAAAAATACATTCAAATTAAGAAAAGCTCCAAAATCAAATCATGCAAAACATACCACCTCAGACACTTTCAGACACAAAGCAGGAGAGTGACGCCTTCCCTTCTCTAAGATACGATGTGGTCTGATCCTTGGGCAGTAAATAACTAAGGGATGTCCCAACAACATAAAAGGGGTATTTATGTATTAAAGTAGAGAAAGTACAACCCTCAGTAACACGGTATATGGAAGGAGCAAGGAGAATCCAGGATCCCTCACGGGCTTACAGAGTTGAGGAGAAAGAGGTAGGATCTGAGGACGAATGTTTTGCATGTGGTATTTACATGGTAGCTGTAGGGGAAGCATATTAAAGAGGAGTGCCAGAGAAGAAGGGATACTGGGGTTGTTGTGGATAGACCTCCATTACAACAAAAAGGAGAAAAACACGGGTTTTAAATCCAAGGTGATCACACAGACACAAGGGGGATGAGGAAGGAAAGGACTGTCATGGCCAAACAATCAGAGGCAGACAAATGTAATTACGTTCTTTAATCTCAGGATTTCTGGGGGACTGACTCACTACTTCTGAACACTTGAGGGAGGTGATACTTTAAAGTGCAACCTAGCTTGGAGGAATGACTATGTAAAAATAGCACCTTCCTAACCCTACATATTTGCTCCGTGCATGTATTCAGTCACGTCTGCTAACTAGCAACAAATGACATTTTGATTACTTTTTAGTTCTCCCAGCCTTGCAGAACCGAACAGAGGGATGAGTGTGAACTCAGTTTCACCTAAACTCCTGAAGCACCTTGGCCTTAGCATCTCCCAAGTGCCTGGGGGAAAAAAAAGGTCAATGGGGAACTACACAGGCTCTCTGAGTGACTGGTGAGAGTCTCTCTGGAAAAGTAGTTGTCTGGGAGGAATATGCAGAAAATTTGACTAACGCCCTAGTCCTACTTTCAGCCCCTAAAAGCAGGGGCCACATTTTCCTTATAGTTGTGTAGTTCCTAAAGCTGTGCTGCTCTTCAAGAGATAAGAATAATTAAAACAACATGCAATTTTTACATCAAAGTTCTTTTATCTAATATTTAAAGTTAAGAATCTAAATTATTATTAATACTGAGGAACCCCCCCACCTCCAGCAGTTTTTCCTGCTACTGGAACCTTCCTTCCTGAACACAGGCTGTTTCTTTGTTTTTATCATCTGCATCACTGTCATTCTGATAAAAAGACTGCAGAAACTCTGCTCGCTGGGGATGCTGCAGTCACTAAGCCTGCTGAATATCTGCAGTAGGCAAGTCACTGACCAAAATATTTACCGTAAAAGGCTGTCTGCAAGGATCATACTGTGAGACCATGGATCAGCATCACCAGTTCTGCTTAACATCAGAGACATCAGACTTTGGAAAAACTTGTATCCCCACCTTTCTCAAACCACCCTTAATGCAGGACTACCCACCATTCTACACTATTGAATATTTTATTCAGTCTTGCCTTAAAAGACTTGTGTGGTGAAGCTTCTCATAACTCCTTTGGGAGAATACACCGTAGTCTTAAAAATCCTCAGTTAGGAAATGTTTCCCGATATCCAGCCTAGATTTCTCATTTTCATCTGATTAATTCTAGTTACCCCACTGTGTTTATGCCCATCAAACACCTGCAGCCTGGTATAGCATGTCTTGCTTTTAATTGACATTTAGACATGCCATATATATCTATATATAGCTCTTTAATCTTTTAATTTCTCTCTCTCTCACTGGAGTCATGTCTTAGCATGTGCTAAGCTAGTTTTGCTTTTTTCTTTCAGCAAAGCTGATAGTTATTTTATACTGAACTAATAATGCAGGAAAGCAAACTGTGACAAGCAAATAGACTTATTTAAGAAACAAATTTCATTTCTCAATCTTCAGTCTAAAACCAAATATTCTACTAATCACATGCTTTGAGTTATAATCTACTTACTGTGTACCAAGCTTCTTGTATTTACTAATTGAGAAAGCATCAATGGTGAGGGCATTCAGTATTATAGCTGGATACAAAATGTATTTTTCAAAGCACTGAAGCCACACATAGAGCCTTTCAAACCACATCAAATGAGCAGCATCTGAAATAGAAACCCAGATAACAGATCGTTTCATCAAATTATCAGCATTTTTTGCACTGCAATAGCATAGAAGAAATGAGTTAGCTCACATTAATAAATGTAATCAACCAACTAATTTATGAAACAACAGAATTCATAATTCTTTTGCAAAAGAGAAATAATTTTGTTCTCTGAATTTAGAGAGTATCTGTTCTGCCGCTTATAACCGCACTCATAAGAAATGCTCAAAAACTTTAAGAGATGGCACATGCTATTTGGTAGTCTCTACATAATCCAATTATCAGTCACTATATTAAATAGCAGTTTTAGTGATGTAATGACTCCAGAGAGGCCCTCTCCAGCTCTGGTACTGACCTGGTGGATGACCTAGGGAACCTCATTTGAACTCCGTGCCTCTCCCTCCCCATCTTGTAGTGGCAAAACACTGTTCATTAGACTGCAAAGTATTATTGACCTCATTGATAAATGAAATATCCTTTGAAATCTAAAGACTGAAGAATTAACAGGAGCTAGAAACTGTCACAGATGTTTCTCAAAACACTTAAACAGCCATTGTAAAAAGTACCTGCCAGGACCACATCATTCACCAGTAAAGAATATCTTTTTTTTGCAGCAGACTTTTCTAACAACATCACAGTGCTTAATGTGAGTATTAAGAAGAACTGAGTGCTCTGTGCAATTCAACTGCCATGAGAACTTAGGTGAACTGAGTTCAGAAATACTTGCGTACAGACAAAAATAATGTCTTTATTCTGAACTGAGCTCAGCTAGACAAGGTTATTGGAAAACCAGTGAATGCAAAAAGGCAGAACTTGGTATTGACTCAAATAACAATGCCAGCTACTGAATCTCCAATACTCTTCCCTGCAGAAATGAAAATAATTATGTATACACATCCCACGCTCCCACACATACCTTTCCAATGACAGGCAAAGACGACATGCCAAATCAATAGATTTGTATGTTCTACAGGCACAGTTGTATATTGTATAGGCTCAAAGAGAAATATCTAAAAGCAATCCTTCCAAATTACCTTTAAGTCATGCTTTGGCAGTATCTTAAACTAAGACAATGCTCTTGCAAAAATCTGCCTTCAGAAAATACAATCAACTTCTGTTTCTTGTTATAACGCAAAAATATTTCCTCCTCTTATTACCTAAAGGCCACCTCCTAGAAGTTCATACACGCAGCGAAATGTCCATTTTGGAACCTAGCTGTTATTCGCCGTTCCTCTCTCCTCCCCCTGAGCTACAAATTGCTCTCAGAGCTCCACTCAAGAACTTCATCCAGCTGCCCAAAGCTGAGCTCTGTTTAAGAACTCAAGCTTGAATAAAGAGATATGCATATCAAGTAGACTAAAAAGAAGGTAGCTGCAGGAGCAGAGAGAAATGCGTGCAGACAATGCAGACAGAACAAAAAGAGCTCATGTTCAGAGGGGGCCCAGGGAAACACGTGGATGATTTGAAAATGGCTTACATGAATCTGTGCAGTATAAAAGCAGTGGTGGGGAGGAAGGAGAAGAAAAAGAGTCTCTAGTGTTTCAGGATTTCTTTCTCACTCAGTACTGCACTACTTTCTACATATCTATTATACCATAAGCTCATACACCTTGACCTCAGCCTTTCTTCCTTCAGTCAGGCAAAACAATGACAATGAATGAATGAGTTATCTCATACGGGCATCATGAGAACTGGTCTGATTGATAATTGCTATTCTGTGGAAGGCCTGAAAGTTTGAACAGCTCATCCAGAGGCTATGAAACAAAGCCAGGAATAAACTTGTGGAATTGTCATTACCAGCTGCTCATCTAATTGCAAGAAATCATTCGTCTCCCCATAGCACTACACTTGTCAAAAATTAGGAAGCTGAATTAAATTCTATACAGTAAAAGCTCCTCACAGACATTTTGTGGTCGCCAACGTGGAGGGAAACATTGTCACGAAGGATGAGGAGAAGGCTGAGGTACTTAATGCCTTCTTTGCCTTGGTCTTTAATAGTCAGACTGGTCATCCTCAGGGTTTTCAGGCCCCTGAGCTGGGAGATGGAGATAGGATGCAGAGTGAAGCCCCAGTTGTCAAAGAGGTGGCAGTCACTGACCTGCTCCTCCACCTGGATGC